GGCCTCCCCAGCATCACAGCCAAGAGGCGCTCTCCTCGGCTGTTTCCTCTGGATAAGACTCAATTGTGGGATTTTTTAAAAACATTTTATTTATTTATTTATTGTGAGAAAGAGAGAGAGAGAGTGTGTGTGGGCACAGGCGGAGGGGCAGAGGGAGAGGAAAAGACGACGACTCTCTGCTGAGTGGGGAGCCCAACCCGGGGCTCCCCTCAACTGTGGGATTTTTTGTGGGACCCCAAACCCCCAAAAGATGCAGCCCCTACCCCCTCTTGCCATGCCCCCATTTCCCTTTCTCCTAACCCCAGGTTCGGCCTTGTCCGATTTTGGAGTCTGTGCATAGGTCTAGTTTCCAGTTTCACTGAAAATGGAATTTCTTTCTTTCTTTTTTTTTTTTTTTTATTCTCCTTACTCCTTCTAATATGCCTTACGGGCCACGAGTTTAAAGCCGATTTATGCAGGGGCGCCTGGGTGGCTCAGTTGGTTAAGCGACTGCCTTCGGCTCAGGTCATGATCCTGGAGTCCCGGGATCGAGTCCCGCATCGGGCTCCCTGCTCAGCGGGGGGTCTGCTTCTCCCTCTGACCCTCCCCCCTCTCATGTGCTCTCTCTCTCTCTCTCTCTCTCATTCTCTCTCAAATAAATAAATAAAATCTTTAAAAAAAAAAAAAGCCGATTTATGCAGATGTGTTCCTGTTGGGGACGTGAAGATGTTCACAGGACTGCAGGCTCCGTGGCTGTAGGCTTGCGGACAGGTGGGCCTGGGGTTGCAGTGCCAACAGGCAGAGGACAGGGAGGGTCTGGGAGGGTCCTAGCCGCCTGCAGTTCCTGCCAGGAGTGTCAAAGATCAGCCCCCTCCCTGCCCTGCCCGCGTTTGTTTGTTTTTTTTTTTAAGATTTTATTTATTTATTCATGAGAGACAGAGAGAAACAGAGGGAGAAGCAGGCTCGCAAGGAGCGGGAAGCCCGATGCGGGACTCGATCCCAGGACCCTGGGATCATGACCTGAGCCAAAGGCAGTCGCTTAACCGACTGAGCCACCCAAGTGCCCTTAAAGATTTTATTTATTTATTTGCGAGAGAGAGAGAGAGTGAGAGAGAACATGAGAGGGGAGAGGGTCAGAGGGAGAAGCAGGCTCCCAAGGAGCGGGAAGCCCGATGCGGGACTCAATCCCAGGACCTTGGGATCATGACCTGAGCCGAAGGCAGACGCTTAACCATCTGAGCCACCCAGGCGCCCCCGGGTTTGGTTTTATGAGTCAATAAATTCTTGTTGCTTCTGTCACACACACCCCGCCCCCCCCCGCCCCCCCGGGAGTTCTGACTAATGCAGGAAGTAGCCACACTCTCCGGTAACCTTGTCCTTGTGTGCCTGGCTTCTCCAGGTCCCGCTGGCCCAGCCTGGCACCTAACACAACACTCTTGTCCCACAACAGGGGCCGAAAATAGGCCTTTGGGAGGGGCTAGCATTACACAGGCAGGAGGTGAGGACCGGCCGGCCAGCCAGCCGCTGAGCCTGCCCTCCCCACCATGTCTTCCGGCCCTGTGCTCCCTCCCATCCGCAACATCATTTCCAGGCGGGCTGCGGTGCCCAAGGCTGCATCCGTGCTCTCAGAGGGACCTGTGGGCTGCAGCGCTGGGCCTGCAGAAAAGGGATTTCAGGGGCACCTGGCTGGCTCAGTCGGATAAGCGTCTGCCTTCGGCTCGGGTCATGATCCCGGGGTCCTGGAATCGAGTCCCGCATGGGGCTCCCAGCTCAGCGGGGAGCCTGCTTCTCCCTCTCCCTCGGCTCCTCCCCACCGCTAGTTCTCTGTCTCAAATAAATAAATAAAGTCTTTAGAAATAAATAAATAGATTCGCCAGTAGAATGAGCCTGCACAAAACCCTAAGCCCCCACCCTTGACCCCGATAAAATCCCCTGGCCGCGCCTGCTCTCACTGCATCTGCCGCCTCGCTGCATGGCCCCAGGTGTGCTGTGTAGTCTCAGGGTCTTTTGTAAGCAATAAATCTTTATTTTCTCAAGGTTTCCTGATGGTTGTTGCCGAAGGGCATCTTGAAATCATAGCAAGAACCACGACGGTCGGTCCAGTCATAACACCGGTCTGAAAAGGCGAAGCCATGGATAACTGTAGCGGGATGTCTAGAGGGGGCGTGACTCGGGAGGGAGAGGACACACGTGGGTGGGTGCAGAGGAGAGCCCCGCCCCGGAGCGTGCTGGTGGGTGACAAGGGAAGGACAGTGCGACAGAGCCGTGGGAGCCCCTGCGATGTCCCTGAGAGCCGAGCTCCCGCACATGGCCGGGACCAGTCGGGGAGCCTCTGGAGGAAGACTTGAACCGCTGGGCCTTGCAGATTTGCTAAGAAGCAATGGTGCCCGGGGCAGGAATCCAGGCCCTCTGCAGAAGCGTGACCTCCTGGCCATGCTCCAGGCGCGTCCCCAGGATGGCAGGTGGGTTTAATTTTCCAGGAGGGTGGAAAGTTGCCTACAAGAGCTGTGGGAGGCAGGTTTGTTTCTCCTTCAGTTTGCAGTTCTCACTGGCTACGTCCAAGCTCACCGTCAGTGAGCAGAGAAGGACACACGGAAAATCCCTAAAAGCAACCGGTTACTTAATGAAGTCAAGAGCAAAACTGAGGAGGTGGCTCCATGCATGAGGACCAGCGTCCCAGTGACTGGGGGATTTTTACAGAGGCTGTGGGCTGGGCGCGGCATCCCAAGGGGGACAGTTTCAGGTCCATCATTCCTGGGTGGGTTTTCCCCTTTCCTCTTTCGTCAGGAGATGTCATGTTCTTCCAACCAGCAGCCTGCTCACTCATGAGACACGGCCTCTCCCTCTCTCCCCCAGCCCTCCTCCCTGCCGTGGCAGGTGGAATGGCTTCCTGTAGGCATTGGTGGGTACCGGTGAACCAATGTAGCCCTAAGATGCACTCGATGGTGACAGAAGAGATGACAGACGTGCCATAGACCCTCTTTGCTTCTGCCGGCACACCCCTGGCCCCCCGGCCTGGCTAATCTGCAAGAACGTTTCTTCTCCCCCGAATGAGACAGTCATGACAAGCTGTCGCAGGTCCTCTCCCCACGGAGGCTGAGTGGATCCTCAAAGGCTGCCCCAGACTGTTGATTTGGAAAAGAAGGAGCAAGTGCATACGTGCTTTGCTGTGATTACCTCGTGGGGACGCGCTGAGTGCGTTTGCCTTTAAGGATGACGTAGCTCAGTGTCTTGGTGCCTCCCTTCCTTTCCTGTTGGTTCGAGATTACAGAAAGGGCTCTGTGTACCTGTTATTATCCTGCTGAAAATGGCAGCTTAAGCACCAGGATTGAAAAATCTGAATACAGAATACATTTATGCTATAGGCATATGCACTGTGCTGAGGATGCTGGTTCAGTGGAAGGGGGTTAGGGAAAACCAACCGGTAGGAATACTTGATTAACAGACTTCCTGAACCCTGTCGAGGCATTAAGATATAATCCGTGGGGTATTTTCCACCATACAGGTGGAGTGCATTCCACAGCATTTCAAAAGAGTTTATTTACGATCAAACGTGTGACTTCGGGGGCGGGAGGCAGCTCTCTGGTTTTTATTTCACAGAAAAGGTTTTCAGCTTGGAAATTGGAAGTGTTCTTCACCTCCTATTAAAACATTAGTGGTAGGGAGGCCTGGGTGGCTCAGTCAGTTGAGCTTCTGCCTCCGGCTCAGGTCATGATCTCAGGTCCTGGGATCGAGTCCCCGCACTGGGCTCCCTGCTCAGCGGGGCGTCCGCTTCTCCCTCTCCCTCGCCCCACCCCCACCCCGCCCCGCTCGTGCTCGCTTGCTCTCTCTCTCAAATAAATAAATCAAATATTTTACAAAAAAAAGAAAGAAATGTCTCATTTGATCCAGACTTTTTGAGAAGTATCGTTCTAGCCATTCAGAATCGAGAAAGATAGCACATAAGAAATAAACGATTCCCATCATCCAATATTTTTTTAATTTGACGAGGTCAGTGAATGAGATAGCAACTGTCTCACCGCCTTGTACTACACCTGTTCCTCTCTGATTTGAAACTCGTCCTTCATTGTTAAAGGAAAACTCTCGTTTCCTCTACTCGCAGCACTTCTGACACCAAGTGTAGGGGGTGGGGGGGAGGTTCCCACACCAACCAATTTTCCAACTCTGCAGACACCAACTGAGCATCCTACAGTTCCATTATGACCCTAACTACCCAGAGTTAGTGCAGACCCCATCGGTAAAGTGCTCCGTCCCACGAGACTGCCTTCCCTCGACTTCGGCTGCCATTTGCAGTCCCAGATTGTCACCTGCACTTGTGACCAATCAGCTATAAATCAGGTGTGCCCACGACCCCCTCTTCGGATTTGACAGTTTGCTCTAATGTCTCACAACACTCAGGGAAACACTCACACATATAAAGGATATGATTAAGGACACACATGAACAGCCAGAGGAAGAGGTATATGAGGAGAAGTCCAGAAAGGTTGCAAGCGCAGGTGTTTGGAGTGGTGCCATTCTCCTGGCATGTGAATGTGTTCGCGGACACAGAAGCTCTCTGAACCCCATAGTGTAGAGATTAGAGATTTTTACGGAGGCTTCATCACATAGGCATGATCAATTATTAACTCAATCTCCAGACCCTCTCCCCTGCATGGAGGATGGGGGTGAGCTGAAAGTCCCGAGCTTCTAAACATGGCTTGGTTTTGGGAGTGACCAGCTACCAATGTGAAACTCTCCAGGAGACCACAAGGCCACCTCCTTAAGAGCAAAAGGTGCTCCTATTGCCCAAGAAATGCCAAAGGATTTAGGAGCTTGGTGTCAGGAACTGGGGACAGAGACCAAATATATATTTCTGATTATGTTCCAACTAGCCACTAAATTCTTATCTATATTTTTGATGTAATAGATATCTGCTGTATGGTTGGCCCACGCCCACCTCCAACCCCATCCCCCCAGGTCACCATATTTCCGTGATCTCTCCCTCTCCTTTCCATGTGTTCACTCTAGCAGCCACCATGACATGACCTTGTCCTTGGCTCCAGTTTATTGGCCCAGTGTTAGCTGACCCGGAAAGAGGCAATCAGTGTCTTCCATCCATGGGAGTCTGGAGAAGGGGAGAGAGGAAGAGAGAGGGGGAGAGAGAGAGAGAGAGAAGGAGAGGCTATGAGACCCAGAGTTTTGGAGGCTGGGAACTGAAGCACGGAGAAGCCCGTCTGCAACAAGAGAAAACAATGAGCTGGAGCCCCAGAAGGAGTAGAGCTGATACACACAGAGAACTTCTGGGTGGGCCTGCAGGGCACCAGCCCCCTTGTGGACTCATGAGGCCCAGCTGCCCCAGAGAGCCCATGAGCTACTCCACCATCCTGAGATGCTCCTTTCTTTGCTTGAGCTGGTTCCCCCTGGATTTCTGTCACAAACGAAACAGTCCCTGTTAACTCTCTGCATCCAGTTCTAGTCTGTTCCATGTCACTGATCCATCTGCTCATTCCTGAGCCAGGAACGCTTTCATTACCTCCTTTATATTTTAATATGTGATAGGATAATCCCCCCCCCGCCCCATTACTGTTCTTAAAATTTTCTGCTGGCTATTCTCACACATTTTGTCCTTCCCGATAAATTTAGAATCCTGGTGTCCAATTCCAAAAAAGGAAAAAAAAAAATTGCATAGGAATTTTGATTCAGATAACCTTGAATTCGCAGATTAACCGAGGGAGAAGAGACAGGGCCGCACTCTTGGGACCGGGTCGCCAGGAGGAAGTTGGCTACATTCAAAAACCTCACGACCTTCGTGAGGTTTACAGTTGTCTTCATACACAACCTTGCATATCTCCTAGGTTCGTTCCCCGGTGTTTCGTGTATTGGCCGCTACCGCGTGTTCTCAGGCTCCTCTCTGGAG